GAGAATCATACCCCTAGACCAACGAGCCAGACCATTGTTTGCCGAGATAAAGCGTAAATCAATGTACGCTGTATTTTAATTGTTTAAATTTTAAAGGTCGTTGGTTGTCACACCACGCATGTGCGACATTTGTTTTAATTTTAATTGATTTTCCCACGATCCAATGCGCTGTTCTAATGGGAATCACAAGTATGACTTGCCGATGACTCCTTCGATACCTAAAAACACACCTAAGTAAAGCTTGGTAAGGTCTCAGTTTATATCTGCGCATAGGGCGCAACAGTGAAAGTCGCCATCAGCTCATATGAAACCCATATCTCGCGCATGCGTAGCGCGAAGACCAACTCCCTTTAATATATTGTGTCAAAGATATATGTAAGGTTCATGGGAACTAGGTTTGTATTTTCAAGTTGTGAAGACCATGTTTGTATTTGTTAAGTTAAATTGGACCAGCATAGTCGTAAATATGGATTTATTTTAGAAAACATTACTTTTCGTCGGTTCAAATCAATAGAATAGAATAGAATAGAATAGAATAGAATAGAATAGAATAGAATAGAATAGAATAGAATAGAATATTCATAAATGTTATAAATTTGGTTTAATTTCCTTGGTCTTTAAAGTGATCCAGATGTCAGCCCCACTCTCTCATACAAATTTTCTCTCCTGTTTTACAAATTAAATAAAGTTTATTTCGTCTTCGATTCGGTTACGTGTCTGGCACAAGGTAGTGTCTAATATGTGCTCACAGAATGATAGTTTTTAAATTACACCAGTATTTATAAAATGAAATAAATTTGGCACCCGTACAGTCAGAAGCGCTTGAATTTTTTGTTACATTCGTATGGCTCGTTGGTCTAGGGGCATGATTCTCGCTTAGGGTGCGAGAGGTCCCGGGTTCAACTCCCGGACGAGCCCTTTTTTTGTTTAAAATCACCACTGAAAGTGGTATTGTTGAGCATTGGTAACTAACCGACATGTGATGCTCCTATCAGTCACACCGTGAATATTGTTGTATGTAAACCCGGTTTTCGCCATTTATACACTCCCATATTTTATTTTATTAAAAAACACATAAAATTAAACAAGAGATTCTTTGCAAGTCTATAATACATGTACACTTAATTGAGGAGAACGGCGGTAGATTTGGGCCGTGTGGTCCATTCTAGGGATCTGCATTCCCCTGACTCGGAACAGAGTCGAATGTCGATGGTATGAATTGGACATGATCAATATATTCATCGTGTCATGACGCGATGCTGTTTGTTGTTGTTTTGGGAAACGGTACACATGTTATTCGGGGACTACGTCATAAACGATATAGAAGGTATACTTCCATAAATAGACATATGTAATATATACACACTACATCATGTTTTATGTGGTCAATGCGGGCTACCAGTCACGTAAGGATCCGTACAGTGTGTCGTAAAAAAACGACGGAACTGGATTGTGCTGGAGCAAATACGAGTGAATATCGCTGAAATGGTTATAGTATATACTGAGTACGAAGTAGCTAACGCAAACTGAGAGCTTGATAACTTTAAAAAATGGGCTCGTCCGGGAGTTGAACCCGGGACCTCTCGCACCCTAAGCGAGAATCATGCCCCTAGACCAACGAGCCTCACGGACTTAAGATGAAATGCACAATGCTAGTGTCCGTGTATAATTTCACTTGTCCCTTTTGTCATATCGAATAGTGACATCAAATAATGGTTTAAATGAAGTGACAGTGCTTCGATTCTATTATAATAAGCGCTTTGAGAGTATGTTGTTATGGCTGCATGGGAAATTGGTACATTTTGTATAACGATGGCCTAGGATGGGGCGAACCATTATATCTTGCGGGAGGGGAAAGTTTAGATAGAAATAACATACAGAAAAAACAAAACGACGTTACTGCACATTCAGAAATCGAAAATAACCACAATCTGATCATCGAAATACAGTAAAATTATTCAATGCATAGTTTCACCTGTTGGTTTCACACGCTTTTTTTTTATTCTTTGAACAACGTGGACTGATATCTGCAATGAGCTAGATGCAGAATATTTGCCACAAGAGGACAGGGTGATAATCGCTTTCTCGGATATCGTTGATGTATAACAACCGTTGCGTGATGTGTTTACAGAAGCGTAAAACAATAGTAGAAAAAACGTAAAGATTTCATCGAACTTTCCATTCAAATACACATTCCTCGCGCGACAAATTAATATCAACTGAATTTTTGCGTTTAGTTTTCGACAGGGCTCGTTGGTCTAGGGGCATGATTCTCGCTTTGGGTGCGAGAGGTCCCGGGTTCAATTCCCGGACGAGCCCGATTTTTGTTGAAACATTTTATGTTTACTTTTGGTTAAATATATTCTTTTCACCAATTATGTAGCATTTCAATACAGTTTAAATGTAATTATTTGTTCGTTTTAATCTCATTAGAATTATTTTTATCACTCGACAGGATGATGCGCCCTCCGTGATTAAATAGTTGCTTACTTCGTTTTTAAATTGACCGTGTTTTTTTTTATTTTCGCCGTAAGTACTTATTGCACGTCTGATCACAATACAAAGTTACACAATTTGTACCCAAAATAATAGCAAAACAGAGTAAAAAGATGATATTTCAGCGGAGTTTCAGTTATACATGTTATCTATTCTAATTCAATTTTTCTTGCATGTATTAGGTCTAGAGGTCTATGTATATACACGAGACAGACACTTCCAAAGAATATGTTCCCCATTAATTCAATACAAACGATCATTGGGCAAATCTATGTTTTTAAATATCTTTTTATATTGAGTCTCTGCGAAATGAGACATGTGTTTGTATGTCTGCCTGTTTCAATCAGTAGGCTATGATCGGAAATGTATTAGTTATCCAACAATACATTCTTCTGTTGTTCTCAGTGTATAACTTATCAATAAATTAACTCAAATGTAGACTGTATACACAGTATTAAAGCAATATCTAATGAATTAATAAATGCGTAAATCTAAAAAAAAAATCGATATGTTGATTCTTAATTTAAATGTACCTTCAGTAGGGCTCGTTGGTCTAGGGGCATGATTCTCGCTTTGGGTGCGAGAGGTCCCGGGTTCAATTCCCGGACGAGCCCAATTTTTTTCAACTTTCATGATTTTATTTTAATTATAATAGATATTTTTTTCACTATTTAATCTACATCAGGAGATTGTTTAGCGTATGTAAGTGTTTGTTCTCTTCAATCTCATTATAATTTTACCACAAGGATGATGCGCCCTCGGCAGTTGAAACTCTTGTTTTTATATTGAGTCTGTTCAAGGTGGGTGTTCTTCATAATGTGCCCACAGTAGATATTTGTTGTATTTTACCGTTATACCTCCTTTTTATAATAAATAAATAAATTGTCGCAAAATTTAATTTTGGCCTTACTGACTGCCAATGTAAAATAATTCTATTTTCAATACGTTGTAATTCTTTTAGTTTTCTTACAAGTCTTCTCAGGTCATTAAACATTTTTCAAGCTTAACTTTAAATTTAACTTTTAATAAATTAATGAAAACTTTTTTTTAAATCTAATTGTCTGTTGAATATACCTTACACATTTTCGTTTTTAAATTGATTAAATTGATAAATAAAACTCATCTGCTTCTCACGTTTCTCATTCAACCAATGTCTTTTTTAATTGGATAATTTTGGGAGTTTTGTTTTTATATTTTTTTGTTTTATTTTAACGACTTTTTTTTTTTTTTACTTTACAGAGTGATCAACAATAGATTTACTTCATCGATTCGCATCAGCACCATTACACGCAAATATCAGTGCTTTACTTCCATGTTATTTGCTCATCCCCGCCATATCAGCACTGCCGGTCCCAATACATACTTAATTCATCAAATGTGACATCATGCCTAACCCGTATTGCACAGGTCGATTGGTGAAGTTCATTTAGATCATTGGAGATAATAAATCCCAAACGTGGCCGATGCCTCGTTTTGGCCCCACTGAAAAGTAAAAATGGCGGCTGCTACAAAATGCTCTCCGCAGCTGTTCAGAAATATGTCACGCTTTCACCCGAGAACAATTCTTTGTAAACAACAACATTGTAGACATATCTTGACACGGGCATCGCGTCCAGCTGTATATCATAACTGCAGACAGTACTACGACCCAGCTAGTTCATATAAGGAAAGCGAACTCTGGAAAATATATCACGAAACGAAAAACTGGTGTAGCGAAGGTACTGTATCGTCGCTTTCTGATTATTTGTTTTGATTGTGAATATTTCAGTATTTAGTACACAACATCTTCTAGTTACCGTGATAACATGAACAAAGAAATTGACCTTACACTTCGAAATTAGTTAGCAGGCGCTTCGTCCATTCTTAGTGGTCTGAGATCCATTGTTCATCTGGCCGTTTACGACGATCCAAATGTGACCTTACATACTCCACTGTTCCTTTTGTAATTCAGTGGTAAAATTGTTATGTAAAATTTTAAGGTAGTAACAAGGGAAAATGGTAATCGGTAACGCAATCCCATAGACATACACATGACTACAGTATTCGCCCACTTATTATATCTATGCTTTCAGGTGATATCTAGGTTATTAACTTATTATAGTAGCAACTGCATCCTTTATTAGAACGTCAATGTCACATATAAAAAATAAAACATTGCATATAGTTTTGAAATCTTCTGAAATCTGCCTAATTATGTTGCAGTGTTCTGTATTATATTGGTATTATTATGATCTTAATTAAATCCCACAATTTCGGGCTTGTTATTAAAAAAAAAAACTTGTTGTTATGCTTTTTACAGTTTTATTTACACTGATTTGATTTACTTTGTCTTTTATTTACCCCCTCCTATATAGTGGACTTTTCTACTTGCCAATTGTCTTTGTTTCCTATTTACAGAACAAAGTGCTCCACTTATCAATGACCTTTATAAATAATAATAATTTACTTGGTACTTGCAATGATTCCCTTGCTATTAATATTAATGAGCATTTCACTGACATCACAGATTGGCATAATTTACATATTACAGGATTTGATGGGCGGGGCAATCATACATATAAGTTTACATAGATGGCTGTGAATAGCGGGCAAGCGATACTAGCATGCCAAAAAAAATTGTTGTATCATAGAGAACTCAGAATGCATTTTTGTTGTATGTGGGTCAAATATAGAAAAATCAGATAACTGTAGAAGACTGTTTAAAGCTGACCAGAAGACGCTTACCTGTCAAGAAATTGAGTTGGCAGTGATTTGATACATTAACACTCACAAAACATTTTGCAATGCTAATTGGAGAAATATTATTGAACCTGTCAATCATTGTAGCATGCACTGAACTCCAGACTAGTGACAATCATCCCCGGTTTTGCAAGAGGGCATCCAAAGGACACAAATCTCTTGCTTGTTTTGTGCTACCCGGTTTTCGCCATTTATACACTCGCATAATATTTCATTTTATTGAAAAAACAAACATAAGAATGTATGTAAGTTGTAAGATTCACTAAGTCGGGCTAACGAATTGTTGAGTTCTAAATGACTCTGTTTGATTTTCCTTTCTTTCTCCAGCACAAAAGACTACACCATGGATCAACCCAACTGCTGTTTTCGCAAATAATGAAATAAGCTTGAGTGATATTGATGTTTATGGTTTTGACTATGATTACACATTAGCAAATTATGATAATGATATTCATAATTTGATATATGACCTTTCAAAAGAAGTGCTCATCAATAAAAAAAAGGTAAATAAAAATATTTTCTTTTCATGTCATTTTTGTTATCTTTAACTTAGTTTCAGATTGCATGAAATACTGTAATCCAAATTCAATTTTGCATTTTTGTAGACAAAACCAATTAGTACAACATATGCAAAGTTATTTCCTATACTTTTTTAGCTCCGCTGTTGACTTTGTCGAGCGGAGCTTATCATATGAGTGATTGTCCGTCGTCGTCCGTGTCAATGTTTTACTTTTTCGACTTCTTCTTGAAAACTACAAGCCTGAATGCTTTGATACTTGGTGTATATGTACCTTGGGTAGACCTCTCTTGGATTTGTTCATTTCATGATGATATCTTTAATTCTCTAATTTTGGTGAATATTTTTGTCATTTTTGGTAAAAAGTGATATTTTCAACTTCTTGTTAAAAACCGCAAGTTCAATTGCTTTGGTATTACATATATAGGTACTACATGTGGACCTCTTTCAGATTTGTTCATTTTGTAGTGATATCTTTATTTCTCTAATTTTGGTGAATATTTTTGTCATTTTTGGTAAAAAGTGATATTGTCAAGTTCTTGTTAAAAACTGCAAGTCAATTGCTTTGATATTACATATATAGATACTACATGTGGACCTCTCTCAGATTTGTTCATTTTGTAATGATATCTGTAATTCTCTAATTTTGATGAATATTTTTGTAATTTTTGGTAAAAAGTGATATTTTCGACTTCTTGTTGGAAACCGCAAGTCCAATTGCTTTGATATATTATACATATAGGTACTACATGTGGACCTCTCTCAGATTTGTTCATTTTCTAATGATATCTTCTGTTCTTTAATTGCCATGTGCATTGCTAACAGCGGAGCTATCTCAGCCGACAGGCTGCTTGTCTATATTTTTTTACCGCCCGCCGCATAACAAATCCAAGTTGAATTTTTGTGGGAGTATCTTGTATCAAAGTACTGAAGTCTTGCGCAGATGAGAAACAAGGTTATACATGGAATAACATTTTATTTCATTTCTTCTCTCCGATCAATGACATCACTTACAATTCTTTGAGAATCACAAAAATCTAATGGAAAAAAAGAATTAATTTTATTTTATTTTCGCCCTCCTCAAAAAAATTGCCTCATAAAAACCAGAGAAACAAGGAATAAAAAAAGTCTGACCTCACATAACAAACATACAAAGTCCATGAAAACATTTTTATGCTTTTTGATGGGCTAATTTAAATCCCCAGTCCCTGTAGAGGGACTGTGTTAAAAAAAAATCAAAGAAATCTTAGAAAGAACTCCCATGTGCTGAGAGTATTGAAAACACATTAAAAATTAATTCAAAATTACTTGTACTTGAGATATTGATGGAATAACTAAAAACTAATTATGTAAGTCAGGTAACTGATATGAACAGATTTGAGTGTAAAACTAATAAGGCCTGTGTAATGTAATATCTATGTACCAAGTTTCATTGAAATGTGATTAGAACAAAAAAACTATGAATTATTATTAGAGAATTAATATGAACAAATTTCAACCCAAAATTAATTTATGTACCAAATTTTATTCAAATGTGATGATCAGTAATTGAGATATCAGTGTTAATTAATTATTTTAATTAGGTGATTAATAGGCATAAATATTTACCAAAAACTAATTGGGTCTCTGCATAGTCCTAGGTTCATTGAAATGTGATGATGAATACTCTATAAAAGTTTCATTAAAATCCAATTAGTGATTCTTTATAAATCAGTGGGACATTCATGGAAAAAATTAACTAATTATGCGAATTAGGTAATTAATATCTACAATTATTTACCCTTAAAACTAATCAGGTCTCCGCATAGTCCTAGGGGATCTATGTAGCAAGTCA